GCTTCAAGTTATGAATTGCAACAACAACAAAAAAATGATGCTTCCGTCAGGGAATGTGCACAGCTGCTCCTCGAGGAAAGAAGCTGCCCTGGTGGTCTTGGCTGCATGGATCCAGCAACTGTTCTGCTCTGTGAGTGCTCAGCAGTTGATTGCCAGGAGGAAAAGGTGAAGGGGGAGAGAAGGAGGAATAGTGCAGTGATTCCAGTGCAGTGCCCTGGATGGCACGGGCCAGGGTTGCCATGGCTTTGGAGGTGACTCGGTGTGTGCAGTGGCAGAGGACAGAGAAGAGAAAAACATGTTCCTTGCTTAATCCAGACTGTCTTTTCCAGCACTCAAGGTGCTGCTGGAGGGCCATGGCACAAAGCCTGTGCCTGTGCATCCACCTCTCAGATGCATTGGTGGTATGGTCACCATGGTGTTTAGGAGTGTAGGATGATGGGGGCTGACATGCCCAGTTTTATGGGCCACAGCCACTGGTTATCCGGCGTCTCTGCCATCTATTCCTTTTGCATTTACTTGTCTTTCAGTTTATTCCCCTGACTTTAAACCAGGAGCTATGTTTTGGGTATGTATTTCTCAGAAAGTTTCTTGGTCTCACTTAGGTCCTTAAGCATTTTCATGATCAGGATTGGAAGAACTTTTCATCCAAGCCTAAGCCCTGGATCTAGCTGATTTTTACCCCAGTGCCAGTTACAGACTGGTAACTCTGAGAATCTGTTTATCTTGCCGAGCAGATTCCTAGCAGGACAGAAATGCCTTCTGTTGATGATCTGCACTTAGCTGCAGAGGTCAAGAGCCAGGTGCTGCAGCACTTCGTGCCACTGCTTGGCCAATGAAGGTTCTGCTCATCTCCTGATCTCCTGGGAAGCTTCTTTAATCCAGCACTAATGGCACTGGCCCGCTTTGGTTTGGTTGGTTGTTTTTTTATTTTTTATAATGATGGTAACAGTCCTTGACTAACCCTGGATGTCTGCACAGCTTTGAGATGGCAAGAGAAGTTCCTTGGCTAAGGTTGTCCTCTGATCTTCACTCTACTCACTCCACTTTACTCCCTGCTTGCGTGGGAGTAAATGTGCGTCAACAGTGGCAGAGTTGTTGTTTCCTCTGCTGAAGGTGACCAAAAATGTTTTGCTTGTCCGTTAAGAAGTCACTTTAAGCAGATCAGTGTAATGAGATTCTGAAGCCATATGGCACTGGAATTAGTGCCTTCTAGTGCAGGAAATGTATGTTGTAATTGCAACAGTGCTGTATGCTAGAAGTAATTTCAAGAACAGAGATGTTTTTTCCTCTGCTTATTACTTTAACTCCTTGGGGCTTAAAACAATGTCTGGGATGTAGCCCATTATTAAAAAAGGAGGGAGATGCAGTCCTGGTATGCTTTTTATTAGAAAATAAATGGAAGTTAATAGAAAAGATCAGTTTCCATTTCCTAGCTGAACACTGGAATAGATGTTACCTGTCGCAGCACCAAGTGTGCTCTGAAAATAAACTTTTGTGTCAAACTGCTGAAATGCCTCAGATTCATGTTCTGGGTGATGGGGAAGGCAGAAAGAAGGTCACATATATGCAAAAGGAAAATGTGTTTCAGCATAGCTATCAAAGATCAGTTCAAACATCAGATAAAACATCACATATGAAATAGGAAAATGTGAAGCTGGGGTTTCAGAAATGAAATACAGATTATTTTCTTAGCATCGATGTGTATCAATCCTAATATTGGCATTGGATTTAGATCACTTATTTCTCAGGCTTGTGGAATGTTATATACATTGATGGGGGATCTACTGGTCTTCATGAATAGATATCTCCTGCTGTTGGGTTTTTATGTTTTGTTGTTTTTAAATCATTGGTGGATAGGAGAGGCAATTTTTTGAGTCTTTTCTACACTAAACTTTCTTAAACTTACAAGGCTCTGATGGAAAAGTGATGCCTGTTTCCCTGCAATTGTTTAAATGACTGTGTGGGTTATGCTGCAAACAGGGAGCATTTTACAGTGTTTTCTAGCTGCCTCATTTACCCATGCAGCAGAAACAGAGTTCTCTTCCTCCTTCCTCTGGCACATAAATACTGTTCCCAAACTCAAATCTTGACTGTTCACAAGAAATTACATCCCTTGGGCTCAGCATCACTGAGATCTAACGTGTTTGTGGCATGTTTCGTGCTTGACAGTGATACCAACCATCAGAGCACTGCTTTTTGAAGCAGAAGCATATTGTTTCATAAGAAGAGATATTGGGCTTAAACTGATTTAACTGAGTTGACTTCAGATTTGTGGCCATCCTCTGGCCACACAGTCACGGCAGGAAACACTTTCCAGCAAGTGTCCATTCCAAGGTAAACTGGTATTTCTGATGAAAGTCGGAACTAGTGCAGCTTCACAAGCTGTTTTGGTTAATGGCATCTGAGGATATCTGGGTCATGGGTTGTGGGGTGGGGGATTTTTTATTTTGTTTTGGTTTTTTAAATTTCTGATGACAATTTCATACGTTTATTTACTTGCTTATTCATTGACAGACCAAGCCAGATGATGTTGCTAGGCAATGCTGGCAATTCATAAGCAGAAAATGTCCTCTTCCTTAGGTTTTCGTAACATTTTGCTATGGTTGTCTGCAGCAGCAGCAAAGTAGCTTCCATTCTGTTATTATGGAGAAGACCCAGGGAAGCCTGTTTACCATTTTCTATACCTGCCCCCCCCACTACTGCATGCAAAGAGCAGTGACTTGCTGTCAGTCAGACTGATACTTTTCAGCTAACCGAGGAAAATTGCTTAAAATCAATCATCCACTCTGAGTGTGTTACATAAAAGTGTTCCTGCAAGCCAGCCCTTGCAGCAGGTCCTGTGCAAATACATCCAGAGCAGTACAGAAGAGGTGATCTGTGGTAGGAAATAGGGCAGGTCTCAGCACTCCCATGTCAGAGGTTTCCCATACGTGTCAGGAGAAGCCAACCCATCTGCCTGTGATCTGGGAATGAAATGACACTTACAGGAGAATAAACAGATCCTTTTGTCCATCCATCCCAGTCCTTTCAGCACAGCACTCAGTTCCTGAGGTAACTCTTATGTGCCTTGTTGCTCAATGTAGAGCAGCTGCAGTCAGTTCATTTTTTGTTCTGGAGCTGAGAGATGGCAGTGGTACCCCAGGCATCAGAGTTTTGTATTGAGCATTGTAATGGACCAGGATTTCCTAGGGAAAGACTGAGAGATGATTTTAGATAGTTTTCCTGTTGCGTGCTGTGGCTACCTGTGCTTCCAAAGCTCACACCTAGGGCAGATTTCTTCTTGCATCCCACTTCCAGAGTCAAGTCTCCCACTTGGAACGGAGCATCTCACAGATCCTCCTGTTGCTAAGCCATGTAGATACTGGGGGGAGCAGAGTCCACAAGAGCGGCAGACAGAAGTGTATTGCCACAAATGCTGGATTCTCCCTCACTGCATATCTATACGTGTGCAAGGTTGAAGTGCAATTAATCTGTGTATGTCAGACATGAATATATTGTCAGCAAAGTTTATTTTCCAAGGTACATTGTGTTTGCCTGTGTATGGAAGGACACCTTGAGCCCCTGTAATGAAAGAAAAGATGATGGAAGAAAGATTTAAAGATAAAACAGTGGGGTTGTTTTTCTAGTTTTCTTATCTCAGGATGGCAGTTTTCTACAAATTAATTCTGCCTTCTGTGCCACTGCTCTCCCTATCTCTAAAATATTGCTGTCCCCTGGGGATTTCTCCATGGAAGCTCTAATAAATATTTTACAAATGCTAATGAATCAGGTCATCCAACAGCTCAGTACATCATTGTCCTCTCTTTGCAGGCAGTGTTTTGGCAAAGAGCAGCTTCATGCCATGTAGCAAATTTGGGGGGCAGGGTAGCACAAGTCTTTTACCATAAAAGAGGCAATGTCCTTTATAACTTTCTTTGGTCAAGGAGGGAGGTCCAGAGGCTCAGTTCTCAAGTCTGGTAGCTGTTTTACTATATGGTCAGTCTGTGTGTGCTGGGTTAGGAAGCTTAGACAGCTCCTACTGTGTGGCTGAGGAGCAGCAGAGCTGGCAGGGGAGAAGCTGCAAGTTTGTGAAATGGGATAGAAGCAGGAATGAGTTGACTTCTGTGTGCTTCAGCTTACAGGCATTCAGTGCAGTCCAGACACTTATTCACCATTTTAGTAATGGCACCATGTGAGGCCTTTCTCTCCTGAACATCTTTGTTCCCTCTGGTTCATTCTCTGATTTGGATTAATTGCCCTTCTCTTTTCCCACTCTGTGCCTGAGGATCAGCTGTGATCTGAGTAGGCCATGAGCTGAACACACTGGATGTTGTTCTGGCACTGTGTGAAGTGCCAACAGGTGTTAGTGATTGAGGCAGAGGAAGGCAAAGGTTCTCAGGCTGTGTGTAAGGTCCTTGCAGGAAGCTCATTCTGTGCTCAGGTCCCTGCAGATGAGCTCTGGGTGGCAGCTCAGCCCTGATTCATTGGGTTCTCACTGTATTCTTTGCACTGTCACCAGTGCTGGCCTTGTGCCTGTTATGCATCTCCTGTGCAGTTCCCTCCAGATCCCAGGGAAGGCTCCTTTTTATTCTACTGCATCAGGATTGCGTGCTCTCTGTACTCAGTTCCCCAAGTACTAGTTTCTTCACAAAGCTCTCTAACCAGTGATTTGTATTATAGTAGTTGTTAAAAAGGAAAAAAATCAACATAAATACCCAGCCCCTTCAAAGAGATTTAATGGATGTTTCAAATCTCTCATTTTGGTGTCAAATTGATTGATCCAACTTCTTTTTTAAACAAAATTGGTTGGGGGGTTGCACAGCTAGCAGAGCATATCTGCCAGCAATATTTCCCTTGTCCTCCATTTGCTACTCTGTTCATTTAGATTATCAGATCTTATGAGCAGGGACTGTGCACAGCAGCAGAGGGCTTTTCTGTACAGTTGCAGCCTCCCAGTGCCACTGCCAGACATATGAGTAATTGGTTGAGCAGCTCTGCAGAGCAGTCTCCTTGCACTGCCCAAGCTGAAATGCAGAAGTAAAAAAATCCATTCTGAGAGATGAAGAATCATAAAATCATAAGCCTGAAAGGGACCAAAAATCATGAAGAAAACCCTTTTCTCGAGGAAAAATTATTTGTGAACCTGTCTGGCATGCTCCTTAGGAGTCATTCTGTGATCTTGCAATGCGCTTCTGGGATCTTCTCTCGTCATTGTTGCTTGTAAGGCAGCTTTAAATTAATGATAAGGAAGCCATTCAGGGCATGGGCTGTGCTGAGGTTCACAGCTTTCATTCTGAATGAGAGATTAAAGTAAACTGATATTGAAAGCAAGGAGGGAGAAACAAACACAGTCACTAAGCCTATAAAGTCTTAGCCAATTGCGATGGCGAACATCCTGCTGGCGAGGGTGACCTTGGATGAACTAAGTGGGATAAAGTCACCAGCCTGGACTGACGGCTGAAGAATCAGGCTGGATTCCAGCAAACAGAGAGCAGGTTCCTGACAAGAGTCTTCTGAGCTGTGGCAATGGCTTCTCGGTGTCGGAAATGTGGACAACAGGTCCCCAGGAATCTGCCTTTCACTGCTGTCCGGATAACAGAGGGAGAAATGAAATCTTACCATGATTTTATAGGAGGATGCATTAGGCTGGAGCGCATGGCAAAGAAAGGTATGTACAGCATCTTTAAACAAAATAGCATCTTCTCTTAGTGGGAGCTGCACTGCATTCCCAGGCAATTTGCAAAAAAGAGATTATGTTTCTAATGCTTTCTCTGAGGAGTCAGTGACAGATAAAGGCAACTGGCTGGATTTGGATATTAACTCAGGTGTGGCTGCAGCATTTTGCTTGGCTGTCTATTTCTGGGATATTTGCAGTGATTTGACCTAAAGGAGGTTAAAATGAATGTTAAGCTCATTCTGAATAAATATTTATTTCACTCGGATGTCAGACACTGACTTTTCTGTATACATCAGGAGCAGGTATTTGCTGTGCAAGGAAAATACTTTTTTTGAAATGAATGTAAGAAGCTGGGGCAGTGGGCTTCATGACCCAGTTGAACCTGTCACCCTGTTCTCCTAAATTACTATGTAGAAGGTCATTATCTTTCTCTCTGTGAAGATTCTAGTTTCACTGTACTTAGAAAGTTGGACTATGGAGCTTTTTGTGCTCTGTGTGAGTCAGCCTGGGTACAGGGCAGTATTCTGCTCTCAGTGGGTGGCTAGTATAAGATGCTGGTGTTCTGGCAATTTGTGCTAACTGCATGTTAACTCTGGAGTGATAATAGTTGAAATCTAGGTTGTTGACTGCTTAGTCACATATCAAGATTGCTGAATCATAGAACACTTTTTCTTTATGTGACATTTGAAAGAAAGATTAACCAAATAGCCCCCTTTCATTTGCTAAGTTAACTTGAATAAATACTTAGTAAACCTCAAATCCATTATAACATGTTCACTAATACGTGATGAAAAGATCCCCAAAAGCATGCAATATGATTGTATTTTCAAGCTGAATTGTTTATTATGATTTAATTAGCTCTTCAGCAAAGAGAGTTGCATTCAATGTGGTAAATGGAGAATATTCTGTAGAAAAAGAGGTGGACCAGAAGCAGGACATCGGCCGGCAGCTACTGCCTACAAACTGGGGTTTGCAGATGCTTTCTTTAATAGGGCTCTAACACACAATGTCAGGGTTTGAAAACTGCAAAGCCAGTCCATTGTACCTCTGCTTCTGTGGGTGATCCATCCGTGCTGATCTTTGGGCTCGGTGCCTACCTATGCGTTGCTGTGTTTGGCTGACCTCTCAGTCACACTGATGTTTCCAGTTGCACTCTCTGTACTGTGGCATTCTGAGTTCAGCACAGTATGGCAGAAATGTCCGGTATCCCAATAAAAGACAGCAGAATTCATTGAAGTTCCTTCCTGGATGTTTGATCAGGTGTTTCCAGGTTTCTTATGGCTCTGGGGGCCCATGGGCCTGTTGGAGGCAGAGATCAGGCATCTGCTGTTCTTTTTCTTCCTGTAGGTAGAGAGGAGAAGAGATTGGTAATAGCTTTGCTATGGTTACTGTTCCCAGGGAAACATCTTCTCTGCCTCTCACGTTGAGAGGCTGGCTACCTGGCACAGTATTATGGGAGGAAATCCCTTGAAAAATCATTTTCTGCTGGAGAACAGATAGTGTGTCAAATCACCTTGAGCCTGTTGCCATTTAGTGAGGCAGAAAACATCGCTTCTGCTTTAGTTCTAAATTCTGCCAATGAAGTTGCTGGAGGGGCGAAAGTTTGGTTATTGCCAGGGACAAGGTGCCTCCTGCTGCAAGTGTTAGAGCTGGGTGAGCTGTGAGAACACGCCGGGGCAACTCTGCATGCGGTGACAACGTGAGAAGGGGGCTAAGGAGCTGGCAAGGTGGCACAGGAATTCATAACAACACTGCCTGGGTTCCTTCCTCCTGCTCTGAACTGACTCTGACCCCGTGCTCATCTTTGGTCCTGTTTTGGCCTATGTTTTCTTATCTGTAAAGTAGGAATAGAATTACCTGCCTCCATAAAAAGTGGATCGTGATGGTATAGTTATGACTATCCTTTGATGATTAGATCAGTTTTCCTTTGTAGTCTGTAGTGCATAGACACAGAGGAAGAAAGATGATATGTCCCAGAGAACTTGGATTCTGCCTGCCCCTTCTTGCTAGTCCTACTAGCAAAGACTCATTGACAAACTCTAGAGATGTGTGCCTTTTTCCCTGTGGCATGTTCTGGCTTACCATCACCTAGGAGTACCCTTTCTGCAATGTAAAGATCCAGCTGGAGTGTTGCTGAGGTCTAAGTGGCTGGTACTTACACAGTGCTTCAGGCACTCCAAAATATGAAGCATTTTTCACATACACGCCATGTCTGTTGAACCCTATGAATATTCTGTGGCAATTTTCTCTCTTATTAAATATTTTATTGAGAAGAGATGGAAGGCATGCAGGTAACTACAGCAGAAATAGAGGCCACGTGGCTGCAGTGGCCTGCAGGTAACCTGCCTTTCAGCAGCAGTACCCCACAGCAAGCAGTGCTGTGCCAAGCTATTCCAGTCCTGGATCACACGAGTTTCAAGGCTTCCTTTGAATCAACGTGATTTGTTCTGATGAGTGGTTAGAAGTGTGGTTGTAGTCTCCTGTTCATGTAAAGAGATGAAAACAGTGAGTGCTTACAAAAAGGAAGTGCTGCTGTGAGGGGCCAGCTGAAGGGCATTTTTCCTGTGGCCATGTGATGCCTGCTCAGAGCGCCACAGCCCCAGCTCCCTGCAACAGGAGCTGCCTACGGGTGCTGAAGGCCCCTCTGGGGTCTGGTGTGCAAATGGTGCTATTTTGAGTACCAGTACGTGACCTTGAGACTCTCTGGGATCTGCAGCTCCAAGGTGCTAGTTATAGCACAGCTATGAGAACCAAAGGGAAGGAGCCCTGAGAGAGCCAGGCAAGAAGTGTGACAGGGACTCCAGTCCAGGGCTGATCCTTGTTGGAGTGCTCTCAGTTCCTCACTAAAGAGATACCGAAGGTGAAAGCAAAGCATAACCTCTTGTCATGAAATACATCATTCTTGGACTGTGGCTCATGTGCCCTTTCAGCACTGACAAGACTACTCATGTCACCCAGCTGCTGATGAACATCTTTAATGCTTCAGGACACCTCCTGCCAAACTGGCCCTCTCTGTCCCCAGATGCTCCCAATTAGCCTGCCTTGTTGTGATGCTCCAGTCCGCCAATGGGACCACACACCTACGGGGGCTTTACATGGATGAATGATTCTTTGCTGGTTACACTATGCCTCTGCATGCTGTGGAGCTTGAGGCTTCATTTGGATTATATATTTTTAAGGGAATAAATGTGTGGTTTTCATCTGTGCTCAAGGCTGGTGGCTGCATAAATCAGGGTAATAAATCTGCAGACATTAAGGAGTATGCAGTTCATTACTGAGGCTATTCAGGATTTTGCTGCTGTTGCAAAACCAGGCAAGAGCCTCCTTGCCAGTGGGGTGGGGACCTGTCTGTTGTGCTAACAGAGGGTTTCTGATTTTGTCCTCTGTAGAGCAGAGGAATGCTGCAGTTCTGTCTGTCCAGCCATCATGGGAACCTTTCCTCAGTCCTACTGCTGTGTCTCTCTTACTGCTGGAGTTGAAAAGCAGTTCTTCATGTCTATCTGTTCAAGGAGGGAAAGGGACTGAAGTACTGGAGCAGTTAATGAGTTACAGTGCTATCTCTGGAAGGAATTCCCATCTGTATTGAGTCCAGGCTGAAATTTCTTGGACTTTTTGGAGCTTCTTCATCTTTAGTAGTAAAATATTAATGAGAACTGTTTTCCTTTCCCACGAGGCTGACCTTTCCACAAAGGTGCTGGTTACTGGAGAAAGTGACTATTTCATGTGAAGACCAAAACCTGCAGTATAAGTGAAAGGAATTTCTAAACCCCTTGAGACTCAGTTACAGTGCCTCCTCGTGCACTGTTCAAAATTGTTCATGTTGTATTTGCGTTCAGTATCTCTTCTTTAATATAAAATGCTATCTAGGGAACCTGGGGTAATTTCTTTTCCAGCTGGCTCTTACTGCAAAGAAAACAGCTAAATTAAAATATTCTGTTTTCCACAGAGGTTTTTCGAAGAGAAGATCTTTATCTTGGATGCTTGTGTCTCTTTTCACCTGTTCCCGTTGATAATGCAGCATGCTTTGCTGCAGTTGAGCAATACTAAACCCTGTTTACCTAATCAGAAAAGTCCAGAGAATTGTGAGGAAAATAGGGAAGGCAGAACTTGATTTCCATTTTAAAAGAATTTTGAGAGATAAGTAGTACTGAGAAGATCAAGAGAACAAATCCTCAGAGGGCAAGTTATAGCAGAGGCCTTCTGGGTATTTATGTTTTTCCCTTCCTCCCAGGATACCAGAACAAGAAACAAGTCAGTGAAATGGAAAAGCATTAAACACGGATAGACAGATTGCTGTAATTGGCAATGTTTTGTTAACTTGTGGGACTTATTACCACAATATAATAGCACAGTTTGCTTTTTTTATATGCCTAAATTGTAGTGTAAACTGTCTGGGGAGAAGATTTCAGGGGCAAATGGTGCTGAATATACTGGGAGCTTGGAGAGCATCTCTGCAGAGCTCTCACCCTGGTTATACCCACGGAGCTTATTCTCTAATTTCAGCCAGTTCTGATGTTTCAAACCCCACTTAAAGACCCAGTTCTGCTGTATTGATCTTTTATACAAATTGTGCTGCTGCTTTATTACCTGAATCTTGCTGTGGATTAGCCTGCCCAGCGAGGTTTCTAAGCCACGGACTTTCCTTCTTCACCATCTGTACATTATGTAGTAGAATTACTCATTCTCAATTATAAAAGAATGATAAATAAAGCTTGGTTGTAGCAGCCCACATATTTATGAATATTTGGACTATGCCAAGTGTCTTATTGCACAAATTTCTGATCCTACTAGTTAATTCCATTTTTCAAGGGGAAAAAAAATCCTCCAGCTTTTTACAACAGAAAAGAATTATTGACCAAAGATTTTTTTTTTTCACCTTTTTCTAAGCCAGGATATCTCAGCATCTTTGTTCTGCACAGTCAGTGCTTTATTCATATTCGGAATCTGTTCCTGTGAGTCATTAAACTGGGGATTGGTGAGTTCAGGCTACT